AAATGGTACTCGTGACCCATGTCATCAGCTGTACGTGCACACCGCGCCCACCATCCGTGGCTTTACCAACGTCCCTGCCACCACCACCGTCTCCACGCGCTGCTGTGTCGTTGTCGCGGTCGTCCTCATCACCTCTGTGCGTGTGTGTGCGTTGTTTGCCGCTTCGCTGCTCGTCGTGCGACGCCGCCCGCCGGTGCTGCAGTGCTGCCGATGTCGATGGCGACAGAGAACCAACGCGCGAGGGCGCGTACGACGCGCTCTTCGCCCCACCTGGTTGCCTGCAAGCATCGGTTTCGTACTGCTGCAGGCCCTGGTGGCCATGATGGAGGAGGTGGTGCGCGGACGGGCTGGCCTGCCGCGTTCCTGCCATCGACGGCGTCACCACGACCACCACACCCGACGCATTCCGTGCACCGCCTGTTGTTGCTGTAGCTGCGGTTGCTGTTGTTGTGTGTGTCGTGCGCACGTACGGGTCCATGGAGAGGGAGAGGCGGTGGTGCGTTGGTGGCCGGCGCTGCATGCGCGGTGGCGGCGACATCAGCTCATCCAGAACACGCGAGTACTCGTGCACACCGGAACCACGCCCAGTACCGACACTCATGCCATCCCTGTCGTCATTGTCGTCGAGGCTGTCGTGACGAAGGCCACGGCGACCACCACCACCACCACCACCACCACCACCACCACCACCACCACCAGCAGCAGCAGCAGTAGCAGCGGGGTCGCTGCCATCAGAGCGGTGGTGGTCATGATGGTGTGATGGCGAGCACGAGCGCGATTCAGACCACGAACACGAGGATGGCGATGATGACGGCGACGTCGAAAAATACGACGACGATGACGATGACGATGATGACGATGATGATGATGATGACACGGACGATGATGCTCCTGTCGATGTGGCCAACGACTCATCAGCAGACAATGGTGGTGACGCCACAGTCTGCTCTGTCGTTGCAAACACCTCGTGCGTGTGTGATTGGTCGCGCAGGGACGATGCAGCGGACGGCGACACCCCGCCATCAGCAGCACGACCACGATCTGTATCATGATGGCCAGCGCTGCCAGTGCTGAAACGGAAAGCGCGTCCATCACTATGACCATCATGACCACCACCACCACCACCACAACCGCGTGGGCTGTCGACAGCGTTGGCGTGGGTCCCTC